AACCAGTGATGTTTTGATTGCAGCCAGTACTTTTTGAAAAAGATGCATTTCTGACGTAAAATTATTCGTTCAGTTTCCAAAATTTAGACTTTGAAACTACACTTTCATTTAAAAGTTCAACGTTAACAGAAAAAGGAACGTTCAGATGCGATTATGTGACCTCAAATGAAGTAAATAAACCCCGGCTACCGGTGTTGACAAAAGTCTTGCATGTAGAGGTGAACGCGGAGGCAGCGGTGTAAAGTAGTCGTATATAAAAGAAAAGAAATCAGGAGTGCGCGGTTGTACTTCAAGTGGTCGATAAAAAGCTGTCCTCATCTTCCAGCCTATTTCTAACCCTATCTTCAACCGTATTGCGTCTATCAGAGGGGGCTACATAACCGCATCTTCTGAAGAAACAGTATGGAGTTCAGTACCAATGTAAAACGGATTAGAAAAGGTCAAAAGCGTACAAAATGTGTAGATGTTGGCAACATTCTGGCGCCAAATATCAAGAATAGAAAATTTGATGGATACTGCTTACCTCATCGTGCCTCACGCACGTTTATTAAAATGGCTGCTTCTCTCGCTTTACTACCGATAATGATTTGATGACAGCTAGTTCATTTTGGAAAAGAAACATTTTTAACCCAAAATCATCTGTTTACTAACCAAAACTGGACACCAAATTTTCGTCAAAAATTAGGCATTAACGGACACGATCAGATGTCGTTAAGTAGTCACAAGTGAAGTAAACGAACCCAGGCTATCTTCAGTACGGCATCGGCGGCAAATTGGGTTTAACAGATATTACCGGGTAACACACAGGTAACGTGGTCAAGTAATTGTTTACAAACGCAAAGGGATTCGGAGTGCGCGGTTCTACTTTGATTGGTCGAGAAAAAGTTGTCTTAACCACTACGCAAACTACATTTCCTATTTCTTAACGTATTTCGTTCATCAGATGAGGCTACATAACAACATCTTATCGCAAAAAACTGTTTCCAGTTCAGAACGAATATAACAAATGATTAACAAAGGGCCCAAAAGCTTGAAGTCTGTCTGGATGGTGAAAACATTCTAGCGTTAAATAATAAGAAAAGTGGACTGGTTGAATACTGCTTACCTCGTCACGCCTCGCGCATATGTGTTAAAATGGCAGCGTTTACTGGCTCCTACTTATACTTTTCTAAATTTGAGACACATGCTATCTGAGATCAACTCATGACAAGATTGCTATTGAGAGCCATGGCCAAATCAGCGAACCTGAAAACATCCCACTTGAAATGCACCACGTAATATGGATTTGCTAGACACGTCGCAAATACAGTGGGCCTAAAAGGCTGGAGCTGAACAGTCTAATGGTAAACATCAGCTAGCACTTGTCATTGCTACTTAAAGGAACCTTAAGACATATCTCTCAGGACTGCTCCAAAATGTAAAGCCGGAGTCCGAGGGTTTGTCTTATAACCGTAAATGGTATTCAGCTATAGTTGCTAAGGATGGGTGGATAATAGCCGCAACTAAAACGATTGATCCTAAAAGCGGCGCCAGACGAATCACGCCGGTGGTAAATATTCTTGAGACAGTATGCCACCTACAGGACGCAAAACATTTAAGGAAAGACTACTGGGCTGACATTACATAAGCGGAAGTGCAAATTTATATCCGAACATGTTTTGCACAACGAGTCTCAAAAATGTCTAGCGGTAGTGCAAAACTTTTTTTTCAATCACGCTTTTACGTGTTGTGATGCATGAAAGCTGAAACCACACCCCTGGTGAGACAGAGCACCTTCCTTTGCCCAGTGCAGTCCATCAATATGCATTAAATTTAAGACAAAATCTACTTTGACTGCGCTGATAGCAAAGGGATGACAGAGGAATATTATTAAGCAACCAGCATGTGTGGCTTGAAAGATAGATGCGAGCAAGCGAATCCCAGTAGGCACTTCGGAGGGAGAGGAGACAGGATTGCATAATCAGTGTGTCCTGTTCTGTCGTTGTATGCCCATCAGCCTCCGCTGTGGCCGTCGGCCATGCTAGGCACGATTTTTACTTCGAAAATGCAAGCCGATAAACATAAAAGTCTTTAATTGAATCTTATCCATCCAATGTCAGGTAATTTTAAATGTTCCTCAAACATATCATATTATGTATCCTTCAGGACTGCTTCAAAATATAAAGCCGGAATTCGGGTGTTTGATTGATAACTGCAAATAGCCGCCAGCGAATTCTGGCGGGAAGCGGATGGATAGAAGCGCTTAATATAACGGGCGAACTTGAAAGTGTTACCAGACCAATGGTATGGGCGACGTTGATACTGGGCACGAAAAAGTCTCGGGAGGGGCAGGTAAACGAAAATGTTTCTTTCGCCATCGAATTTTCTCAATTCGATGTACATTACCGTAATTGTTCACGAAACTAGTTTGGGTTCAGCCGAAGTATACTCCATGCTCTCGGGCTTGCTCAAATAAAGCTTGTATTTTTTAACCTATTTTACATTTCTTTATCACGCGTACGACCGTTGTCTCTGGCTGGCTTATTTGTTCTTTCCGTGAAGCCTATCTAAGCGTAGAGGGATGGTGAACCGGCAGACCGGGAATTGAAATATACGTCTACAGATCGATATGGAGTGCTAAATTGGCGCCGATTTTACAATATCTGTATCAATTGATCAGCTTTCGGACCACCAATTTCGTTTCTTTATATCGTAATATGCGATTTGCAGTTGCATGTGACATCTGACCAGCAAATTTGCTTTATATTTCTAAAGGCTCTCCATGACATTATTCGTCGAGACGTTTTCCAGCACACTCAGCGGATTATCTGGCTTCACAATATGTTGTCGGATTCTTAATGTCGGCTTAAGAATCGCAAAAATAACATCATCTAGCCATCGAACTTTACGTAGGAGAGCAGGGATTACTAATTGAACTTTTTCTCTCTTGACAGCTGGAAATAAGACTTCCGAAAAAGCTGTAGGACTAAAATGTAGACAATTAAATGATCTTTTCTAGACGAAAGTCGTTGAGGATTGATAAATATGATAGTAAATCGCAGCCTTAAATATTCCAATCCCACACACACATATATATATATATATATATATATATATGTAATCTTTGCTCAATGGAGATAATCGGTATAACTGAAAGAATGCTCTTTAGACATTACCGTCGATATAATTTCTTTGTGATCGAAACATTAGCGGCACCATTTGTTTTCATATAATTGGTTAATTAGATAACTAATTTCCATGTTTTACACTTCGTTAGCACTCAACGTTCTAGTAACGGAATCTTAGTTTGATGAACTAAACCGGCCATTATAGGATGATGACCAAAACATGCAATAGCTCGAGTTAAAAATTAATCTTGCTTTAGGAACACAACAACGTCACCTACCTCTATTTCATGTTATGGTTTATGCCCTAGAAGGGTAACGCTTTCCCACTAACCTACAAAAGTCAAATTTAAAAAATGTCATTGGAAAATATAAAAGACGATGTGTGCAAACGGATAACAATGTGCTCACATTTGCAGCGCACTTAAGCTTGATGGAAAAATTAAGTCTTAGTGTTAAATTCAGCTAACGGACTTAACAAAATAAGAGGGCACCGATATAGACGAACAAACACGAGTAAACGGAAACTGCTAGTATAATAATCTCTCGTACGCGAATGATCGAACATGCTTTTTACGGGGAGGATTTTACCAGCAACCAGCAAGCACACAGAAATAAAATCAGTAAATTGTCGCCAGTTTTCTAAAATGATATTAACAGGAAATGCTTAATACATAATGACCGGAAATTTAATTAATGTTCCATTGGCGCATGAGACTCAAAGAATTCGGTATTCCTTGTCGATCCGTGAACGTTAACATATTCTATTTCAATGCTTATCATCATATGGGTTATCTCGTCATATTGATAGCGCGGCCTGCCTCAAAACCATTATAAAAAGGTCATGCCCGCTTACAAACTATTTAACTCAGTGGTTTGGGCAAGGACCTAAATGACTTAGAGCCTGCATTTGGATCTGACGTGGTTTAATGGGTAGATCTCGTAGAAATGCTCCGTCAGCAGCAAAGATTCAGAGTGTCATGCCACTGGATAGGCTGTTTGGTGGATATTTCTCCTCCGTTATCATAAACTACTATTGTGTTATCTCATGAAATGTTATGTAAAACTTTGAAGAACGCCTTTAATTCAAAAAGATGAATTCAGCGGGGTTGTAAAACAAATCAGACTATGGTATATTACCTATATATCCAAGTCACGCTGTGATGTCGGCTTCAAACGACCCTCCCCTTGATGGCCTGAATAAACTACAAAAAAGTGACTAATACATGAAATTTTGCTTTTAGAAAATTGAAATGCATTTCAGTGAACACATGTTGAAATATACTATTGTTCACACACTTGATAAAAAAATACCCCTAAAGTTTCCTTCTAAAATACGGAAGATTTTCGTTTGCAAATAGGTTTTCTATCATGACAATTCACAAGTATATAGAACATGCAACAACTGGTCACTGCATCAACTTCCTTTATCCAGCCATATATAAAGAAGGCAACACGGTTAATTACAAAATATTATTTGCCGTACATGTATGGTTATTCTCAAACAAAAATACAGCTTTTTGATAGGAAACCCCGAATGATGGCATAACGGCAGCTTATGTACGAAATTGATCGAGGATTGAGAAAGTGATTTAAATCAAAAGATATTTTGTCTCCAAGTAAATTGTTTATAAAATGCGTAATTTACCACTCAAAGAGCCAAAGAAGGAGTTTTGTGCAGATGCGTTGTAGAACATATCTTCGAGTTAATTAGGATGCCAAAATCGATGGTAAAAATATGTTTTTAAGGAGTCGTTTAAGGCAACATTGCTTATGCCTGCACTGGATAAAAAGCACGAAAGGCCTATGAGCCGCGTGCTTCTTCAATATTGCCATGCGCGGCTTTTCCAATATCGTCCGAAAATTGATCAAGAGAAGGCCAGATGCTGCGAATTTATGGGCGCGAACGGCACAAATCTGTTTCAACAGAAGGTGACTGTAGGAGCCCGCGAGCAGGGAGCGATATGCGGTGCAGCACTGGGGAACGAATTCCACAAACTGCCTGACCAAACTTCATCCAGCGTCAGCACACTGGGACACAACAAGTCAATCAAGAAACTAAAGAAGGAGCAAGTACAGGTTTTACGGCACAAATCCTCATGCAAAACAGCTGACACCAAACCTGTCAATATTATTACAGCACTGGAGTTGGTCATTAATCAGAGGGATACGGCGGAGGAGACGAAGAGCCTTATCCGACACCAAGTTTCGTCTATCCTTATGACCCATAATCCGCTCGAAATACTCACAAAGGTTAAACACAATGCACTAAGAGAACTCAAGGCCGACAAGGATATCGTCATCGCACTCGCAGACAAGGGGCGTGCCACCGTCGTACTGAACAGAACAGACTACCTTCAGAAGGCCAAAAACCTCTTGGAGGATCGCCATTTTTATGTCCCATGCGAAACCGATTCCCTTAAACGCTGACACGCCAAATCGATGCGACAGTCTTGGCACAGGAGAACTCGCGTAAAATAACACCGACAGACCGACGCATGGCAAGAGTCAAAAAACAGCCTTGGCCCGATTCAATAATCCCGCCAAAATGCACAAGAAGGGCGCTCTTCTCCGGCACATTGTATTTCTCAAAGGCACTCAGAAGTACGGAGTCGCAAGTTGACTGTTTCGCCGCCTGGAATTTTTGACCGCTAAATCGAATACCACCGTCTGTTTGTCAACACCATCAGTCGCGATGGTTTTTGTGGCCATTAGACCAACGTACTGAATGTCAACAGTAACCACCCAATCAGATACAAGTGCAGTTGCGAAAGAACGTTATATCGATGGGTGAAGACGCACTACATTAAACCGGAAGACAAGGTTGCCTTATCCCATTATCTTCGAGGGGTTTGCAGAAAAAATAGTTAACCGCAAGACATCGTCAACCGGTGCCTGCGCAAACGGGACGAGCAACAAAATCGCGCCGACCCCAAATTCTGGCGAGCGATCCCGTTTATTAAGAATGTCTCCGAAGTCGTGAGTCGCCTTCTTGCACCACTTAGGGTTGGAGTTGCGCACAGACCGGAGGCCACCATGAGGCGTCAAATGATGAGACCAAAATACCCACTGCCACGACAAGAAACATCTGTAGTCTTTTATTGGGTCTGGCGCAGTTGCGGACAAAGCAACTACGTCGGAGAAACTGAAAGACTGCTCCGGACGCGAATCGCCGAACACGTGGCAGCTGTACGGAGAAATGACGCCGACTCTCAGGTCGCGGCCCATTCGACAAGACCCGGCCACACATTCAAGTTCGATGAGGCCGAAATTCTCGCGAGAAGGGGATAATCACGTGAGCCGCAAGTTGCTTGTGTCATGGTTCACGGTACCTCAGTCTATCAACAAATGCAACGGCATTCCCACTCCATATTCCATGCTGACGCATAGGCTTGCCAAAGTAATTGACCATTCGGGGAGCGCGCAAGCCGATGAGCCAGCTGGCTGAGAAATCATTTAGCCAGCATTCAATAGGCGTGACGAGATTTCAGAAATTAACAGCTTGCATGCTGGCCAGTAAGCTATTAGCGCACCAGCGGACAACAACCCTTGGTGAAGAGGACTGCAGTTAATTGCTGTAGGTATGCCGAAGCATAACGATTGCATACTATAAAGACTGTAACTTCCTGTGCACGCGTCAACACTTTCTGCCACTGTCTCTGATGATGGACTCAAAAGAGAATCCGAAACGTCAGGCGAATATAGCCTTCGTCCTAGCGATCGCTTCTTCTTCTGAACGAAGGACGTGACTCGAACACATCACCATGATGCAGCATACCATACAGAACGAGTGACTTCCGTAAGAGCGATAGGCGAGCGCCCCCTATCATTGTTTATCCCAGATTAAAACCGAGGGGCAGCGATTCCCAGGTATCCCGCAGTTGGGCGTTGGGTATGACCAGCTGACGACGGCTAATAAACGAAAAATGGCCATTTCATTTTCCCTTGTTTTTTTGTTTTTTATATTCTGCATATATGTATAATGATAAAGGGCGCACACTAAGCGTTCTTGCGGAACTCACTCGTTTCGCTGTGCCTTACCGGCTCTCTCTCGAGCCCAAACAGCAGCCGCACAGCGGCGCAGGAAGTATTACAGACAAAGACAAAGGCTCAATAGGACGAAACAGTACTGTTTCACTCTACTCGCATTCTCCGTAGTCCCTTCGTGTTTATAAATATATCGAGTTGGATGTCGCGTACAGAAATCTCAAGGAGAGATGGAAGAGGCGGCGACCAATCAGAACGGACTGACAAACACGACGGCCGCTTACTGGCGTGAGCGTCAGGCGATTAGAGATTTTTTTACGTGCACTTAAGATGTTAGCTGTGTTGGCGCATTTGCTTTCCGTCTGTGCCTGACGACGATTCGGGGAACCGGCGTCGAAAATTTGCACAATAAACTTCCTTTCCCAAAGCAAACATTCGACTTCGAAATATATAAATATGTACACACATACATAAAAAATAAAAGACGTTCTTCGGAAAAGTTGAGATGTACTCGTGAATTTTCAAGCTGGCGACACTCAACCGTCGTCAGACGAAATGAAAATGAGGGAGAACGTTATGTTGTCACAGTAGACAATTTGGTGCAATAGGACAGAACAGACCACTGACGCGTAAGGGGGTGAGTGGGTGGGATCCCGAGGTAATGGTAGGCCCCTGAGTGAGGGGCGGGGGAGGGAGAGATGGCCTAACAATTACGGCACACCGTGTTGGAGGGGTAGAGGGAGTGGTGAATCAGTTGGAATGCGGGCAGCTGTATTCGAGGTTTTTGATGCGTGATTAGGGCAGGGGACAGTCAGTCGTAAACGCAGACCCTCCTTATGGGCATCTTAGTCAAAGTGGCGGTTGATACTACCCGTTTTGCGGTACCAAACCCCCAGAAATTCCCTCGCACGCTTTGTGTTAGCCATAACGGCGAGCTCAGTGCTAACCCAATGAAATCGGTGGTCGTACTCGGGTAAATGGGCAAAGAGGAGGGACAGGGGGTCTCGCCGACGGATAGCTAATTGGTGTTCATTGATGCGGGTGAATACCTTACAGGGCAATATTATTGAGATCCCAACGCAGTATGTTATATAACTGCTAAATTTTTGCCTTAGGAACTATTGTCAGTTCGATAATAAGTACTACCAACAGGAAGAGCGAACCGCGATGGGCTCATCCACATAAAGACTGCTCACCGAATTAGTTTTGCAGCGACTAGAAGAGGTAATTTTTCAAACTATCAAGCCAAAACTATGGCTTTGTTACGTTGATGACACCTTTGTCAAAATAAATAAGTGCGAAGTCGAACGGCTTCACCAGAAACTTAATGACGTCTTCCCAGCCATACAGTTTACCCGCTAAGAGGCAATTGGGGATAGCTTGCCGTTTCTGGACATGATGATACAGAAGTTGAGCGATGGTGGCCTGAAAACAAGCGTCCATAGGAAAAACTCGAATTCTGAGATAATCCTCAACTATGGAAGCAACCACACTGCAGCTCACAAAAGAAGTTGCATCCGAAATCTGTTCCATCGGGCCTACCGTTATTGTAACAGCGACGATCTCCTGAACAAAGAGCTGGCTCATCTGTATTGGTTATTCCGCTCCAACGGATATCCGATCAGATTTGAAAATAACTATCTCAAGCACCAGACACAGTCGCCAGACCCGACCGCCAACGGAGAGAATGGGATGCGAAAATTCTACTCATTGCCATATATGCGTGCAACTTCTGAAATAATCGCCCGGCAGTTCAGCCAATTGGATATTCACGTTGTCCACAAACCGGCATCTTCACTACGCGCAGCACTATCTCGAGTGAGGGATCCCATCCTCAAAGAGCAAAGAACGGATGTAATTCACCGCATCTCGTGTGTCAATTTCTCTTGCGTCTATGTTGGCCATACAATTCGATGCCCGGCCACCCGTATCAACAAACAGAAATTAGCTATCCGTCGGCGAGACCCCCTGTTCCTCGTCTTTGACGATGCACTCAAGTACGACCACCGACTCAATTAGGATGGCACTGAGCTCGCCGTTATAGCAAACTCAAAGCGAGCGAGGGAATTTTCCCAGGCTTGATACTTGACTGCGGGAAGTTTCAACCACCACGTTGACAAAGATGCCCATTACGAGGAACTAAATTCACAACTGACCGTCCCCTGCCCTAATCACGCATCAAAGCCCATGAATACAGCCGCCCGCAGTCCAACAGATGCACCACCCACCCTTTCCCTCCAGCACAGCACTTACAATATAACTAAGTGGTTATACAGTCGTCTGAAACGGCTCACTCATGGATCGGACTAGGGCATTAACAACTCACAAGCGTTCCTTCGCAGGGTACAAGGCCTCAAAGTAAGTACCGATAAATGCTTCCTGTCCTTTGACGTCGTTGCCTTTCTTCAGTCGTTGTTCCGCCTCCCCCTCCTTCCTTCTTTCTCACTCAGGGAATTACCCTGCCCTCTAGAGCCCACCCCCTCACACGTCAGTGGTCTGTTTGTCCTATCACACCGACTGCTCTGCTATGACAACCTAACTTTCTACCTCGTGTTCATTCTGTCTGACGACAGGTTGGTGTCACCAGATCGAAAATTCTCGACTTTTCCGAAGAACGTCTTTTATTTTCCATATAAATATGACAAAACTACTCAAGCAGTCTTTTGTAATTAAAGCATGACGTGAATTCTAGTCGACCTTTTATGAGATAACATGCATAATTTATTTGAGGGATGCCGCTATTCAAGGCAGCGAAAACATTTGGAAATTATCCTCAGGATGAAAACCAACGCTAGTTAGGCTATCGGAAGGAACAAAGTAGACTCATTTGTGCAAGGGTACCACCTGACTATTGGGCAGTGATTCGCTTGGATGTCTCAGGTCTATGCAGACTCAATGCGTTTAATGTTTATTATTGGTTCATACCTAAGGTGCTCTCCGAAGAGATGTTAGCGTCCGGCCCTGTTTGAGACCTGCTTTTTCGAAGCAGGACTCAGAGACCCGGGGTTCGTCAGTAGCGGTATTTAACTCTTCAGTGTTTGCATCCTTTTCTGGCAACTGGGAGCGGAGTATAGTTCTCTAGCTTCGCCCATGGAGACTGTTAGTCCGCCTGCTCGTGTAATCTCTGTGTCGTACAGAGTCCTAAATAAGCGTTGACTCGAATTTCTTGTGTTTTACGATATCGCAATCATATTACACACTCAGACTGAAACTGCTGTCAGGAGAGTGCGTATATGCTCTCAACATGACCTGGTTTTGTAATTTTGGGCAACGAGCCGGAATAAAATAGCGCATGTATCCAGGTATTGCATGGCCGCGAATGCCCATTCGGTCAGCAATGAATTCAGTTTGCTTAAATCAGTTGGATTCATTCTGAATTGAATTGTCATCTTATATGTTTGCATTATGACCTGAGTCTTCTCAAAACAGATGCTATTTGCGTT